TTGATTTTCCTCTGTATGACCATGCATTTCACAATATCAGTGGTCATTTACAAAATACCAAAGGATTTCTTTCTCTCTCCAGGCAGAACTCATTGTATCCAAACTTGTGTGAGTTAAATGGCTGTTGTGTCTCCTCCAGGTCTCCCTTTGGCTAGGAAGAAACACAGTAGGACTTTGAAAATGGATAATCTTGCATGTTTTTCTTCAGATACAAAAGCTGGCAGTGACTGAAATAAGGACTGGAAGTTCCTTCCTCTTTTTTTATGTCTTAAGAACAGGAAATAAAGGTAAGACAATAGTATTTTTTTTTCCCACTAGATTTTCTAACCAGAAAACATGAGTTGTAAAAAGAGCTTAAATAATTTTCAGAACAAATTGCAGACACGATTACTTTTAAAATATTTTAGAATGACAGATGTGCTATCTAGCAAAATTTACATCTCCATATATATACTTTATTATATTATACTCCATGTAGACTTTATTAAAAACTGGTGGTTATAAACAAAATCTGTCTGTAGTTCTTCAAGCGTTTCATGGGAAGGTTAAGAGTAGAGTGATTCAAAATGTTTGTTGAATTTGAATGCCCGTCTTGACCATAAGATCTTTGAGGGAAGACACTACATACTTAATTTTTTGTATCCCTAGACAATGGGGTTTAAAGCTACTGTGGACAATGTGAGAATCATGATAATATTAATTGAACTAAATACTGGTATTCTTCCACCAGACCAAATCTCTCTTTGTATTCGTGTTCTCTGTGTAAAGCCGTACTCTGTGTAAAGTCTGTCTTTAATAGTGAGATTCCTCTTCCGGGGCCTCAGACCCCCTCTTGACTCCTGCCTTCTCTAGCATTTTCCTCTCTCTCTTCCCCGGCCCCCATCAAAAGCTTCGGTCAGTGAAAATTTTAGTTTATTATTCCTCCCAAAGATAGTTGAAGTTGTAGCCTTGACTAACTGAAGGGGAAATCTTCATCCTCTGAAAACAGAAATGTGACTCTCAAAAGACACATCTGGCAAATGCTTTGGGGAAGGGATCTTGCACATTTGCAAAGTCACTGTTGGGCTCTCATCTCCTTCTGTGGGGACAGCATGTGGCGATGGGAAAATCAGAAGTTCTGAGACCCTCTGCATCTGGAGATGAATCCCTCTGCTTAGCAGGCATGTGATTATCATCAATAACAGGGACCACTATTCCAAGCAGTGTGAGCCTTGGTTGTCCATCTGTAAAATAAGGACAGCACCCATTTTCCCGAGTGTTACCAAAAGGTGAGTGAGTGCTACACTCAGTGCCCCCCGTCTGTGGTTTTACTCTCCTGAGCAGAGTCTGCAGGTTGGCTTAAGTTGCCCAGTTCTCAATAACGATGCCTACACTCTGCACGTGTGTGATTCCTTATGCTTCACCCGAAGCCCTGGGTGAGGGTGGAGTGAAAGGCATCACTCAGACATTATATGGGCTTAGAAAGTTATAATTGAAAAAGAAGACACGTGGGGTGCTTTCCCACGTGAAGGAGGTTTGCGGAATGGGCCTGTCCTTGTGTTGGTCAGTTGCCAACGGTGCCGACAACAGCTGCTATAACTCGGCCCTGGCCCACCTCCCCAGGCTCTGTTCTTGTCTCTGAGCAGGGCTTCCCGAAGAGATTGCCCCACACCTGTTCATTATGTAGTTTCCATTGTTCTTCTCCTTGAGAGTCTGATTTAATAAGTCCTGCGGAGCCCCCAAATCTGCATTTGTAACGGGTGTTTCAGGTGATTCCTATAGTCAAAATAATTTGAGAAACATTGTCCCAGAGGCAAAGCTGCAGCTTGGAACAGCCCCAGGCTGCCTGAGGTGCGAGGCCAGCAGGTGGGTGCATCACTGTAGGCAGGGTCTGTCACCTCGAGGTTGGGATGGGAGTTCCCGAGGGCTGGAGGCTGTTGGGTGTCATGGTAAGCAATTTGCTACTGGCTTGGACATTCAGACATAGAATCAGAATGGTAGAGCTGGGGTGACGTTAGCAATTATCTAGCCCAGTGGCTCACACATCAGGGAGCTTTTCAAAATATATGTATATAGATTTCCCGGTTTAAACCCATCCCCAGAAATTCCGATCCACTCGCTCTAAGGTGGAGGGACTACTCATACGGTCTAAATAATTTATTTTGCTGATAACAACACCGAGGTCCAGAGAGAGCCTAAGTGACTCACTGAAGTCACACAGCAAGCGAATTGTTACAACAGATTGATATGCGTGTGTTCTGACTCCTCCTGAAGTGTTGTTCATTTATCCGACAACAGAATTGATGAGTATTTATGCACTAGGCGTCGTCCGAGGGTTAGGAGATGTGTTTTGTGGAACAGCAGCCCTGCTCTTAAGGAAGAACTAGGTATACAAAGCAATGTATGAAAGGACAGTTGCTACGTCTGAACAGGTGGTCACCGAGCTGCTGCTGTCAGACAGGCGCTGTCCCTGCAGCGAGGACGCCGGTCCTGGAAAGCCAGACTCAGTACCTGGCTGGAGAGGTGCTGGGGAGGGCGGCAGGGTTTTTTGTTCGGGTGGTGAGGGAAGGTCTCTCTGAGGAAGAGCCCAGAGAGAAGACAGGAGAGAGCCCAGTCCTCCAGGGCGTTGCACGAGCTGCTCTGGAATTGTTTTTTTTTTTTTTTTTTTTGTGACCGGTGAGGGGATCGCAACCCTCGGCTCCGTGTCACCCACACCGCGCCCAGCCAGTGAGCCCACCGGCCATCCCTATGTAGGATCCGAACCTGCGGCCTCGGCGCTCCCAGCGCCGCACTCTCCCAAGTGAGCCACGGTTCCGCCCTGGAATCAGTTCTTTACACGCCCCAGGTCGAGCGGGTGACGTTTTCAGCACGGAAACGTTATGCTTGGGCTGGCTTTTCAGGAAGGTGCCCCTTGTGGCTGGAGCTGGAGATTGTTCTTTCAGGGGCTTTGTGGGTGCAGGCGAGGAAGGCAGGGAGACCTCCTGCCTCGTTCCTCCACCGCACTTCACAGGGAGGTCGTCGGGTGTCCCCAGTGGGGATAAAGCACACAGCGGCCGAAGTGCGCATCCCCGCATGCTGCCGGGCTCCTCCAGAAGCCCCTTGTCCCGAGGCAGAGGCCCAGTGGGCAGGGGCAGGGGCAGCGTCCTGTCCTGCCGCCCCCCCCCCCCCCCCGGTCTGCACAGTCCTTCTCGCCGTGTCCTCTGTCCCCCAGCCACGGCCTCGGCGCTCGAGGGGCGTCCTGGCCACGTGCTCTTACCTTTGGCTCCCTGCACGTGCCGCCCCCGCCGGGCTGGCCCTGGGCCGGGGTGGGGGGTGGGGATTTTTGTCAGCTGCCCAGGGATTTTTAAAGGAAACTTTTAGAATGGCCACATAGTATTTCTTCCTGTCTGTCTCTCTTTCTTTTGTCTTTCTTTCTCTCTTTCTTCCCTTTCCTCTTTACTTTTTCTGTCTGTCACCACTGGACTTTGTATCCCTTTTATTGCATTTTGCCGTCATTGTTTATTTCCACGTTTGTGTCAACACAGATTCTCTCCTTGACCAGCTGTTAGTCAGGGTCCTCTGAGCCTTCTGCTTGGCTAGGCCTCCGCTTTGACACCCTCTGTCTTTAGCCTGCTCAGTGCAGTCTTAGCAAAGAATCCTGCTAAGTGACTTCTCCACTCTTGATATGTGATCAAGGTCCTCACCCTGCACCCTTGACATCTAAGTCCTTGATCTGCCCTTAGCAAGCATCCTGTTGGGTCAGCTTAGCAAGGATCCCTGCTCATTGATGTCTTTTCTGAGTAATTTTCCTTCCGCTAACCCCCACTCTGCTCCCTGACTACAAATTCCCACTTGTCTTTGTTGTGTTGGGAGCTGAGCTTGGTCTCTCTCCCCTACTGCAATACCTTTATTGCAACAGTCTTAATTACAGTTTTTCTTACCATTTTATAGCAAGCGTCACAATAATTGTTTCTTTAACCGTGTTCTGCACACTGATACGCCTTGAGGACGAGGACTGCATAACTGCATTATTTATTTTGCCCCCACCTCTATCCCTTAAAGAGCCTAATTCAGTTTGGGAGTGTTTGGGGGACTTTTTAGCCAAAGGTCAGGGGGAACTTACCTCATTCCTGCAACCTAAGAGTTATGCATAGGTCACTTTTATGTTAATGATAATATTTCAGAGCTCTAAGAGACACAGACACAGCTATTCTATTGCAAAATACTTATATTTTCTGCTAAAAACAAAATTAAATAATAATCAAGTATTACCTACCCAGTATTCTTATCTCTCATTTCTGATAAGTGGTTTAAAAGTTCCCATGACCAACCTATCAACAAAGGAGCATGGATGCAGCCCAGCTGTGATTCTGTCGAGGTGACCTGCTCTCCCTTTTGCATTTGAGGGTTTTGGTAGAGATGCCATCCAGTGACAACTTTTCCCTTCTTATCTGGGGCAGGGAGAGACAGGCTTCCTTTATTCCCTAACAGTTATTACAAACTAGTCATGTGCAGACATTCTCAAATTTTATACATAGGAGCTATGTCTCTAGCTTCCATAACTGTGGAGAATCTGGCATTTTAATTCAATATGGATCTTTTCAGAAAAACTTAAACATAACTCTTTCCAAATTATCCATGGAAATACACATACTAGGCGAGAATATTAAAAAAAAGTTCCACAAGTGAAAAAATGGCATTAAAAGAACACAGTGGATGGTGCAGAGGTCCAAGGGACATCATGAGCTTGAGACACTTTCCGTCCTTTAGACGTGTAGGAAATGACACAGTCGAAAAGTCTCTACACACCACTGGAAATACCCACAAGAACCATGTGCATGTGAAGGCCCTCTGGGTAGGATTTGCCCTTTCAAAGCTTCCTGTGTGACTTGCATTTTGGTCAGTGGTTCTGATTTCTCCATTTCCCATTTCTTGATTTACAGAAATGAAGAGGATTCTCAGGGCGGAGCTCTGAGCTCAACGTGCTCTGCTCTGGCGATAGAACAAGGTCATTGCAGTGATGACAGGAACAAGGGAGAACAATGCTTTATTTGAGTTGGATATTTGTTTGGCTTGTCGCAGGAGACAGGATTAAAGGATTTAATATTTCAGGTAGGGGTTTTCACTTTTCATGTTAACTCTGTGAGTCTTGTGGTCAAAGTTTAAAGTGACAGATAATATGATATATCAGAAGTGTGACATTAATACACAGCATTTCCTTCCTACTGTCAAGAAGGGAGTAGGAGAAGAATCATTGGGGTTAACAGCTTTCAGCTGATGCCACACACTGATGGGAACCCAGAGACCGTAGCTGGGGTTCAGGAGGAGCAGCTGCATAGGACTGAACAATGGTTCCACCATCTTTCACAGGAACCCCAGCTGCTCTGGTGATGCTGGAGTCTCCTGGGACACGTGGACCTCACGCAGAGCTTGAACTTCTTTTACCCTACAAAATGGGAAGAGTGAAGGACACACAAGGAAGCCTAATCCCTTGTTAAATCAAATCCTGTTTGTAAACATATTAGAATTCCATTTTCTGATGTGTTTCTATGTTGCTTTGTTTATTGTGATTTTCAGATTGTTCCACCAAAAAACTCCTTTGGACGTATTCTGCAGGGAGTGAAGAGGAGTTTGTCTTATTCTGTGATTTGCCAGAGCCACAGCAATCCCATTTCTATCGCAGACGTCAACTCTCACCTGAACGCCTGCCCTGTGGTGGTAGCAAGGACCTACCTGATGTTCAGTGGTACCTACAACCTCGGAATGGAGAACTATTAAAGGAAATTACCAAAAACTATTCTCACATCATTCAGGACAAGAGCAATCTCCGTTTTTTGACCCCAGTGAATAGTGCTGGGTCATATATTTGTAGTCCCAGGATTAGGTACATCTCAAATGCATTCCTATCTGAAAACATTCCCCAATCCGCTATCATCCTGATAAAATATTTATATTCACAGGACCTTGTTAATCTTCTAGGAGCACCCAGAATGTGACCTGTTGTGTCAAGACGGTCTTAGAAGTTAAACCCCAGATGAACGCATCCTGTGATAACTCTGTATCCCATACGCAATACCTACTTCTCGGTAGCATGCACTTCATTTACTGCCCCAGTCTCAGATGCCAAAGTGATGCACAAAGTCCAGAGGTGACCTGGTACCAGGTAAGAATGAATTCTCTGAAACTGGTATAACAGCATTATTTTTATGGTAATATCTCTGTATATACTTTACAGAAATGTGTGCTTGAGAATCTGAGGTCTAGAGCTTTCCGAAGGCTGGACCTGTGCCCATGCAGGAGACCTGATTTTCTAAAACGGTCTTGCCTTTTTGGTAGCTACAGAGCCTAGTATTCTACTTAGTAGAACCATTCTTTTTACCAATGCCAGGAATATTTCTAACATTCAAGTATATTACACGTGAGGTAAGACGTAAACTTACTAACATCTGCTAGTGCAGAGGGACAGGTTTGTTCATTTTTACTGTCTTTGGAAAGCATTGGGCATTGCTAAGGGGAAGGGAGAACCCAATGAGTAAGTCTTGAAAGCCTTGTGAAAGAACTAGGAGACTGGAACACTTCCCAAAGAGGACACATCTGGGGGACAATTAGGACAAACGCAGGGTAGTCCTGGTGACAGGTATCTTGCACAGGTGAGACGGTGAGGAGGGAATACAGTGCTAAGAGAAAAAGCAAACAAAAGCAAGTTTCATAATAATGATGAATTATGAGCCACATGTGAGTGAACTTCCATAACAAAAACGCTTCACATTTCATTGTGGTTATAGTGTTTCCAAGTGCTGGCAAACGTAGAAGTATAAATGTTACTTCAGCATCTCCTCCAGCAGAGCCCATGGCACTTGATGTCTGGGTGGTGGAATCTGGGAATAGAATCTAAATTGTCTCCTACAATCACATTAACTGTTTCAAGTCCAATACTTTGCTTTAAAAATCATGCACAATTTAAAATTCAACTTCATAATGTATGTGTTTGTTCATATAAATATCTCATTTTTTTTTTTTTTTTGTCTTTTGTCTTTTTTCCGTGTCCGGCAATGGATTGCAACCCTCAGTGTTGCCCCCGTACCGGACCGGGGACCGGCAACAGGATCGCAAGCCTCGGTGTTGCTCCCGCACCTTGCTCAGCCAGTGAGCGGGAACCGGTCTGTATGTGGGATCCGAACCCTCGGACGGGAGCGCCGCCGCGCTTCCCAAGCGGCGCACTATCCAGTGCGCCACCGGGTCTGCCCCTAAATATCTCATTTTAAGTTGTCACTGATGAAAGTCAGGAAGGTATACCACGTTTTTCTGGTGGTTTTATGCACTCCAAACCTCCAGTTACTGTGGTATGAGAAGGCGTTCCCTCACTTGATTCTCAAGAGTCTGCGATGGTAGATAGGCTGGTGTTACTATGTCCATTATAAAAGTAAGTGCACAGACAGGGTGAAGGATGTGGCTGATGGCCCTGCATTTGTATTTTAAAATGACTTTAAAAGAATGTTGGCCTCAATAAAATCCTAATTTAAGAAACATCTTAATTTCATAACCTCTAAAATGAGGTTAGTAAGAAAAGCCAATAGTTTTGTTCATTATTTTTAGTTCTCTCTCAAGAACAATACTTCCCTTGATTCAAAGTATGTGTAATATGGGATGACAGACACCTTGCTGTCTAGGTGGGCTGTTCCTCCCAGTAAAGCAGCCTGGCCCCAGTTATTTCAGATGGAAATGTGTTTGAATCTTCAATGACTGTATACCTGAAATGAAAGCTATTTTTACTTGCAGGTGAGCAGAAGCCACATAATAGTACCTGTATATTGCTTTTATAAGCCAAACCCTAAAGTTGTATGACATTCACAAAAGGAAGCTTTTTTTCACTTCTCTGGGGCTTTGAGTGCAAACGTCAGCATGTGTTTAATGGTGAACAGGCAGGCAACTGTCCTAAAAGTAGGGGAACAATGGCTGTTATTAAAATTGTACCTTCTGGGCCGGCCCGGTGGCGCACTGGAGAGTGCGCTGCTTGGGAGCATGGCGGCGCTCCCGCCGAGGGTTCGGGTCCCATGTGGAGACCGGTCCCCGCTCACTGGCTGAGCGTGGTGCAGGCGCAGCACCGGGGGTTGCGATCCCGTTGCCGGTCGCGGTACGGGGCGTGACACCGAGGGTTGCGATCCCGTTACCGGTCAGGAAAAAAGACAAAAGACAAAAAAAAAAAAAAATTGTACCTTCTGATTCTGATTTGGACAGGTCCCAGGTCAGGTTATGTCTCATGAATTGCACACATGTGCATGCACACAGTAACGTGGAAGTCACAAACCTCATGGCAGTAGTATATCACTATAACTGATGCCCTTTTCTTCGTGCTAAACCCCAGGTTCTCAGGTGGTGGGTAGGTCACACTTCAGACAGACAAGAGATGAAACTGACACTGGCTTAAGATGATGAAAACATGGCTTTATTGAATTCAAATGAAGCTGCTGACCAGATATACCCACCAGATGCACAGAGTATCCAACTAAAATAAATCCATGGGCTTAAAGTCTCTGGACGGTTCCAAAATATTTTCAATAGACACATCAAAAAAATGTAGGCTTGGAGATTCTTTTTTCAACATTTTATTTTTTAATTTTAAAATTATTTTTAGTTGACAAATCATAATTGTATACATTTATGGGGCACAGTGATGTTTTGATATATATATACAGTATGGAATGATTAAATCAAGCTAATTACTATACTCATCACCTCACTTATCATTTTTTTTGTGGCAAGACATTTGAAATTTATTCTCTTGGTTATTTTGAAATATACAATATATTATTATTGACCCTACTGTGCAGTAGATCTCAAAATTTATTCTTTCTGTCTAAATGAAACTTTGTACCCTTTGACCATCAACTCTCCAATCCCTTCTCACCACCCCATTCCCCCCTCCCCCAGCCTCTGGCAACCATCATTCTACTCTCTGCTTCTATGAGTTTAACCTTTTCAGATTCCACATATAAGTGAGATCATGTGGAATTTGTCTTTCTATGCTTGGCTTATTTCACTTTGCATTATGTTCTCCAGGTTCATCTATGTTGTTGTAAATGACAGCATTTCCTTCTTCATTAAGACTGAATAGTATTCCATTGTGTGTGTGTGTGTGTCTCTGTGTGTGTGTATCACATTTTATTTATCCGTTCACCTGTCGCTGAACATGGGTTGATTGCATATTTGTGCATCTTGGCTTTTGTGAGCAGTGCTGCAAAGAACATGGGAGTGCAACTATCCCTTTGATACACTGATTTCAGATTCTTTGGATATATTCCCAGAATGGTATTGCTGAATTGTGTGGTAGTTCTATTTTTAATTTTGGGGGGAAAGTTCACACTGTTTCCCATAATGGCGATACTAATTTACATGCCCACCAACAATGTACAAGAGTTCCCTTTTCTCTGTATCCATGCCAACCCTTATCTTTCATCTTTTTAATAAAAGCCATTCTAATAGATGTGAGGTGATACCTCACTGTGGTTTTGATTTGCATTTCTCTGATGATTAGTGATGCTGAGCATTTTTTCATGTACCTATTGGCTGTTTATGTGTCTTCTTTTGAAAAATGTCTGTTCAGGTCCTTTACCCATTTTTAAATTTGTTTTCTTGCTATTGAGTTACTTGAGTTCCTTATATATTTTGGATATTGACCCTTAATCAGATGTATGGTTTGCAAATACTTTCCCCCATTCTATGGACTGTCTCTTCACGTGGTTAATTGTTTCCTTTGCTGTGCAGAAGCTTTTCAGTTTGATGCGATCTCATTGATCTATTTTTGCTTTTGCTGCCTGTCTTTTCAGGTTCATATCCAAAAAGAAAAAAAAAAAAAAAGTAAAGAAAAAACTTTGCCCAGATCCATGATGTTGTGGAGCTTTCACCTTATGTTTTCTTCTAGTAGTTTGTTTTAAAGTTTCTTGTCTTACATTCAAGTCTTTAGTACATTTTGGTTGATTTTTTGCATATGGTGGAAGATAAGGACACAATTTCATCCTTCTGCATGTGGATAAACAGTTTTTCCACCACCATTCATTGAGAAGACTGTCCTTGTGTGTTCTTGGCACTTTTATTGAAAATCAATTGACGATAAATGTGTAGGTTTCTTGGCGCTATTGTTGAAAACCAATTGACTGTAAATGCATAGGTTTATGTCTGGGTTTTCTATCCTGTTCCATTGGTCTATACGTCTGCTTTTATGCTAGTACCGCACTATTTTGATTATAATCACTTTAAAATATATTGTGAAATCAGGGAGTATGATGCCTCCAGCTTTGATCTTTTTGTACAAGATTGTTGTGGCTTTTGGGAGGTCTTGTGTGTTTCCATTCAAATTTAAGAATCGTTTTTTCTCTCTCTGTTAAAAATGACATTGGAATTTTGGCACGGATTGCATTGAATCTGTAGATCTCCTATCCCAGGAATAAATCCCACTTGATCAGGTGAATGATTCTATTAATGTGCTGTTGAATTTGGTTTGCTAATATTTTGTTAAAGATTTTTCATCTATATTCATCAGGAATATTGACCAGTAATTTTCTTTTCTTATAGTGTCTTTGTCCAGCTTTGGTATCAAGGGTAATGCTGGCCTCATAAATGAGTTTGGAAGACTTCTCCCCAATTTTGATTTTTTTGGGGGGAGAGTTTGAGAAGAACTAGTATTAGTTTTTCTTGTAATTTTTTGTAGAAGTCAGCAGTGAAGCCATCTGGTCTGGTACTTTTATGGGAGATTTTTTATTCTTGATTCAATCTCCTTACTCATCACTGGTTTGCTCAGATTTTCTACTTTATGATTCAGTCTTCTTAGATTGTATATGTCTAGGAATTTATCCATGTATTCTAGATTATCCATTTTGTTGGTATATAATTGTTCATAGCAGTTTTTTTATGGTCCTTTGTATTTCTGTGGTATCAGTTGTAATGTTTCTTCTTTTATTTCTGATTTTATTTATTTGAAACTTCCTTTTCTACTAGTTAGTCTAGCTAAGGGTTTGTTAATTTTATCTTTTCAAAAGAACAACTGTTAGTTTTATGGATTTTATTTCTATTTTTGGCTCTATGTTATTTATTTCTGCTCTGATCTTTGTTATTTCCTTCCTTCTGCTTACTTTGGACTTCGTTTGTTATTTCTTCTCTAGTTCC